GCATTCTGGCGCCGGCCATGCCGCCCCTAAAAATGTGCCGCCCCAAGCACCAGCTTGTTTGGCTGGTGCCTAGAGCCGGCCCTGCCTATCTCATAGAACTGGAAGGGACCCTGAAAGGTCATGAAGGCAGGGGGCTGGACTCCACTAGCAGGAGCAAGTACTAATTTTGCCCCAGATCCCTAAGTGGCCCCCTCAAGGATTGAACTCATAACCGTGGGTTTAGCAGGCCAATGCTCAAACCACTGAGCTATTCCTCCCCCCTGAATGATTAAAGGATGCCTTATAGTGATAGACTCCAGGAGCTCCATCTATTTAGCCTAACAAAGATTATTAAGGGGTGACTTGATTACAGTCTATAAGTACCTACAAAGGGAACAAATATTTAATAATGGGCTCTTCTATCTAGCAAAGAAGCTAGACAAATTTCAGATTGGAAATAAGGTGTAAATTTTTAACAATGAGGGTAATTAACCATTGGAACAATTTTCCAAGGGTCGTGGTGTAGTCTCCATCACTGACAATTTTAAATCAAGATGGGATGTTTTTCTATAAACTCTGCTCTAGGAATTATTTTGGGGCTGGTCTCTGGCCTGCGCTATCCAGGAGGTCCCTTCTGGCCTTGGAATCTATGAATACTGCTAGTAGCTCTGCCCATCATTAAGGTTACCTGACACTTTCCATTATAAGACCCTGTTTTCCGTTGCATGTAACTATGGGAAACTTTAATCATGTAGGCTGAAATTTTCTAGGACAGGTGTTTGCCTCAGACTTAATTGTGTTCCAACCAAAATAATTCAGCCATTTCTGAGAATGAGATTAGGGAAAAATACATTGTTTTGGCCATGTTTAAAAAAAAATGTTACAACCTTTCAGTTAAAAAGCTCCAGTGCCTCCATGCTTTAGCGCAGGGGTTTGAAATTTGACTTGGGGGTCACTGTGGTGTCAAGGATGTGCCTTTTGCTGTTCCTATGAAAATTTACCCAAATTTGGCCAACTGATGAGCCTTTGAAAAACCTCACTTTGCACATGCTTAGTAAAGTTCTTAGTTAGGGTTACCATCCGTCCGGGTTTTCCCGGACATGTCCGCCTTTTTCAGCTTTAAATGGCCGTCCGGGGGGGATTTCTAATAAAGTAGAAATGTCCGGGATTTCCCCCTTTCCCTCATGCAGAGTGCAGGGCGAGTGGGGAGCAGGGGGCACAGAGGCTGCAGGGGCGGGGTGGTGCAGGGGCTGCAGGGCGAGGAGGAGCAGGGTAGGCAGTGGCATAGAGGCTGCAGGGGCAGGGCAGGTGGGGGGGCGCAGAGGCTGCAGGGGTGGGGGGGTGAAGGGGCTGCAGGGCGAGTGGGGAGCAGGAGACACAGAGGCTGCAGGGGCGGGGGGGTGCAGAGGCTGCAGGGCGAGGAGGAGCAGGGTAGGCAGGGGGCACAGAGGCTGCAGGGGCAGGGGGGTGCAGGGGCTGCAGGGCGAGTGGGGAGCAGGGAAGTACTTAGCAACCCCCAACCAAGATCAGAGCGGGAGGGAGGAGGGGGAATGCAGGGTGCTCAGAGGAGGGGGCAGAGTTGGGGCAGGGACTTTGGGGAAGGGGTTGGAATGGGGGCGGGGAAGGGGCGGGGTTGGGGTGGGGCTGGGGCCCCGTGGAGTGTCCTCTTTTTTAAATGTTTGAATATGGTAACCCTATCTTAGTTTACCAGCTAATGTCACCGAAGATTCCATCCGCACTGAGCATGCTCCATCCCCTCACAGTTCTCACGTGTGAGCACATTTCACATGCACCGTCCCACGTGCACAGAGCAACCGAGCATGCTCCATCCTGGGGCTGCAGGGGCTGAGCAAGGTTTTCTTTGCAATTGCCCCTTCCTGCTCCTAGGGCCTGCAGCAATTTGGGCACAGGAGCTGAGAGCAGACGGCCTGTCTCCCCTGTGCAATCAGTCCGATCCTCCCTCACTGGCACCCAAGCAGCAAGAAGGAAAGGGAGGAACTAGCTTGACTTGAATGCTGGGAGGGGGCGGGGGCAGGATTTGGGGAGAGGAAAGTTGGAGGAGCCGTGAGGAGAAGAGGGGCAAGAGCCCAGAGTGGGGCGGAAGCAGAGGGATTCAGGAGACAATGCAGGGCAATAGAGGGAGAGGGGGACAGACGGGGTGGGGGTAGCTGGGTCTGTAACCACTAGGGAACACTCGGGTTCAATTCCATGCTCTGGAGGGAGAGTCCTGAGTCTCTGCATTCCTCTGCTGCCCGAAAATAGCTGGGAAACCTGCTAGCAAAGTCTCTTTCATCACTCTCTGGTGCTTGCTCTACATAGAGGATAACAGCCAACTACTGCTACCGGTTGCTCTGTGAGCTGGGGTGGTAGAGGTCTGTGCCATGGATCTAAAGGTTAATTTTTAGGTTGCACGGGCAGCCTTCAGTCAAAAATTTCCCAACTTTGAATGCTTTGACTTTACAATCTTAATGTCCCTTTGATGGTTTTTAATGTCATTTGTTATCAGAACCAAATATTCAGAGTCCAACCCCCCAGCAGTCCAGTTTGCAGGCAGCTTGTGCTCAGGATCACTGGACCCAATGCTTGCCAGTCATTTGTCATCTGCTTGTAGGTCCCCCGTTGGTGGAATGGCCCAATTGGAGCGTTTTCTGGGAGGCGTGTTGGTACTTTAAGTCTCAGGTCTAGTTTCCAGTAATGCTCGGCTCCTTCCATGGTTAGGAGTGAGGCCAGCAGGGAATGTGAATACACCGAGACCCTGCCCGCCGTCGCTGGCTCCCGGCACTGACTCCATCTCTGCTTTCCTTTTCAGGGAAGATGCCGTTGCTCCAAAGACGCCTTCTTGGGGTAAAAGTTCCAGTTCCGACATTGTCTCCAAAAATGGTACCTTGTCGTCCGTGCACACGACCCGGGACCACAAACTGTACCCGTCCAAGCCCGCTTCAGACACAGCCTCCATCACCACCGCCGCCGGCAGCACAGTGGGCTACAAACCTCCCCATAGCCACCCGAGGAGCAGAACCCTGACGCCCACTCCCAGCTTGTCCAGCCAGAGCCTGCCCCTCTACTTCCCACCAGGAATGAACGGCGGCCATTACCCGAGCACTGTGCCAAGCAACAGGAGCACTCTGCACAGGACAAATGGGGCACAGCCGCAGGCCCCCCGGCAGGAGCCCACTGTCCCTCAAGGGCTAACCACCTCTACCCTTACCAGAATGGGGGCGGTGCCAGTCATGGTGCCTGCCCAGAGCCAAGCAGGGTCCCTGGTATAAGCATCCAACAGCTTGGGTGCCCTCTGTATGCTGGAGAGGCTGGGGAAATGGCCATTAATCCCAAGCAAAGCAGACTGGAAACATAGCGACCAAGCCACCTCCAAGCTCCTGTGCATCAGGGCTGAACGTGTGAGGGGGAGCCGTGCACACGGCATCACGCACAGGCTGCGGGAGCTTCCCAGGGACAGGCTTCCTCAGATATACACTCTGCCAGCTCCCAGTGTTATCCTTTCAAACGCCTTCCGGCCCTGGCCCACTCCCCCGAGGGCTAGGAGCCAGCCCGGGTCCCCTCCGTGTGGGGAGGCCGCTGGCCAGCAGACTGTTTATTGAAGGAATGTCGCTGCTCTTGGTGTTGCTAGTTCCCTGCTGTGGACTTCAGCCCCTGCTGCTGCTTGTAGGACAGGGGTTTTCAACCTTTTTCAGCTGTGGACCCCTAACAAATTTCGGATGGAGGTGCGGGCCCCTTTGGAAGTTCAACCTGTGTTCTGTGGATATAGGTGTTGGAACAATGTGTATAGTGGGGGCGCTGAGAGCCATTGAACCAAACTGTAACCCCCGTGTATGATGGAAACCACGTCAAGCCAGGGGGTGCAGTAGCACCCCTCACCCCCATAGTTCCGGCACCTATGTCCGCGGACTCCTCCCATAGAAGTCTTAGACTGCAAACTGGCTGAACAGAATTCAACTGTAAACGTTGCCCGTGCTTGGCACGGCATTCGCCACCACGGGAGAAAGGGCCCTGGGCTTGCATGGTAACGACAGCACTTCTGGGGTTTGGCCTGTGGGTGGGGGTTATTCACAGACGTTTGGTTGATCAGAAAAACGGAATGCCTTTTCTGGGATCCGGAACTTGGTTTTTCATAGTCACCTTTCGCGATAGTCTGTGGGCCCCCAGGGGGCCCCGGCCCACAGGTTGAAAACCGCTGTTGTCGGAAAAGCCCTGCTGAGATGAGACGGTCTGAACCCATCCCAGGGATTTCAGCGTCAGGTAGAACTGGAACATGTAAACATAGCGCTGCCCTTCCCTCGGGCTGGCACAGGACAGGGCTGCAGCTGGGCTGACCCAAGCACAGGCTTGGTTATTTCCAGCCTGAGGGAGCCACCACCACAGGGCTTGAAAGATCCACTTGCTAGTTGGGGGGAGACCGGACTGCTCGGCCAATGGTGTCTGTGGGATTCAAGCTTCTGCTTCCACCTTGTGGCTGGGAGGGGGCCTCCCGCATGCGACCCCACATGGTGCCACTTTGTTGGTGCTTGGAGGGAGTTTACCCACGGCTGGCGAATGCCATCCACAAGATGGCGGTCGGCTGCGGCTTGCTTGGAGCAGTAGCCCAGGGGCTGAAGCGACTTGCTGGGGGAGAGGTGACATAGTGGAGAGTCCCCTTGGGCTATGAGGTCGGGGGGAGAGTGCCCCTTCCCTGTCACCAGCCGGTGGAGACGCAGGGCCTTGGCTGGGAGGGCTGTATGGACTCAGGGGCTTCACCCCCGGGTCTTGCTGTGAAGACCTGCCCTCATTCTGGGTCTGCCCCTGGCTTGTAGCTGCAGCCCTGTGGCTAGTAGGTGTCGGGCTCTGCTTGCCCAGACTGACACTCGTAGACCCTGTTCTGTCTATGCCAAGGGACCCCGCCCCACCCCATCACCTGCTCTCTGAGTGCTCCAGCTGCCTGTTCCAAGTGTTGGGAGACAGGCCAGAGTCTCCCCTGGGGTCTGTTCTCCTCCACTGGGACTCTCCATGGAGCTGCACTTTGTAAAGATCCCCCAGGCTCCTGCACCCGAGGCCCTGCCCTGCCACGGAGAACAGGGCCTCCGTGGCTTCCCTCCAGGAGATGGTTGTGAGCATGTGCTACTAACCTGCGTGTAACATTCTAGAAATAACCTTATAGCCTAATATCCTAACGACTGATTTCTAAGGACGCCTTCAGCATTTGAATTCATACTGTGCAATTATTACTTTGGTTTATTTAATGGACTCCTTAAATCTTGTGTATTCACTTTATTTTTTTGATAACACATAATTTATTCCTGTAGATACTAACCACTCTTCCAGCCTGGGCTGTACCCCTCTGATCCATCTCATGCTGGCTGTTTCTAGATGTCCATCAGACCCTTCTGTTGGGTGCGATGGGGAGGCACTGAAAGATTATTTTTCTGTACAATTTCAAAATGTAATATTTTTCATAAGTGATCATTAAAAGTGTTTCTGTTTTTGTATTTAAAATAGTGCCGAGCTAGCTGTGATTCTGGGAGGTGGGGCAAGCGGTAAACAGGAAGGGCTCAAGATCTTTGCCACTTCCTCTCGCTAGCTCTTTTTGTAGGTAAACAAAGCTGTATGCAAACTTTGTGCTAGTAGCTGCCACAGAGCAGCATCGACCATGTTAACAACACTGCTCCCCCAGCCAGGTCAGGCGCCTAGTGCAAATGAACTGCAGTCAGTCCTCCTTCATCCACAAACCAGCCTTGTATGAACCAAAGAAAGAAAAGTTCAGAGATAAGGGGCTGGCAGGAAAGGAGGAGTAGCTGGAACCAAATTATGGAAGCCACAGAATCTGGAAAGTCTAAGCCAGGGGTGGCCAACCTGAGCCTGAGAAGGAGCCAGAATTTACCCATGTACATAGTAATACGTCAGCAGCTCCCCAGTACCTCCCACCCACCAGCAGCCCTGCCGATCAGCGCCACCTCCTCCCTCCTCGCACCTGATCAGCTGTTTTGTGGTATGCAGGAGGCTTTGGGGCGGAAGGGGAGGAGTGAGGGCATGACAGGCGAAGGGGTGGAGTGGAGGCAGGGCCTGTGGCAGAGCCAGGGGCTGAGCAGTGAGCACATACACACACATGCTGGCACATTGGAAAGTTGGCGCCTGTAGCTCCAGCCCCGGAGTTGGTGCCTATACAAGGAGCCACATATTAACTTCTGAAGAGCTGCATGTGGCTCCGGAGCCACAGGTTGGCCACCCCTCTAAGCCCTAGAAGGAAGATGAACTGTTCAGTGTAATACAAGGGGGATAGAACAAGGGTTACATAGGAAAAAGCTCCTATCAGCCACTCAGAGGGAAGGAAAAGCTAATTATCTGCTTGGACCAAACTGAATTGCTCTTCTTAGCCCAAGCCAGGCCTCTGATCCACTATTCTCCTTGAAACCGGCCTAATGGGCTGCGAATTGCTGTGTACAGAGTCTGAGGGGAAATCTTATCATAGAATATTAGGGTAGGAAGAGACCTCAGGAGGTCATCTAGTCCAATCCCCTGCTCAAAGCAGGACCAACACCAACTAAATCATCCCAGCCAGGGCTTTGTCAAGCCGGGCCTTAAAAACCTCCAAGGAAGGAGATTCCACCACCTCCCTAGGTAATGCATTCCAGTCCTTCACCACCTTCCTAGTGAAATACTGTTTCCTAATATCCAACCTAGACTTCCCCCACTGCAACTTGAGACCATTGCTTCTTGTTCTGTCATCTGCCACCACTGAGAACAGTGGTTCCTATCTATCCAGATGGCCGTATGTCACCAGTGTCTGAGCACCTCACAGCCCCACATGGATTCATTCCCTCAACACTGATACATAGGGCTGCATTATACATGTGGAAAACTAAGGCACAGGGAGCAGAAGTGAATGGATGATGGTTGTAGAGGGAGTCCATGGCAGGTCTGGGAATTGAACTCTGCCCCTGTGTGCCTAAATCCAGTGCCTCAGCTGCCAGGCCACTCCCCGGAATGCTGAGTGGGTGACACACCCAGAACTTCAGAGCTACGTGTGCAAGCATCACTCCCCAAAGAGGAGGAGGTCCTTGTTTGCAGGGTTATTGTTACAACTCTAGATGAGGGAGAAACTAGAGCTGAGCCAATAATTGATGTCGGTTTGGAGCCCAGCCCAGCCCGAGAAAATCCCCTGTGACAGACCCAGACCAGTGGGGTACAGGAGTCTGGTAGAGGGCAAATATACTGGTCACTGGATGAGTAGTTTTCTGTTCCCTGAGTGACCAGAGCAGGGGCTGCACTAGAGGAATCAGGAACCTGCTAGAACCAGTTAAGGCAGGCAGGCTAATTAGGACACCTGGAGCCAATTAAGAAGAAGCTGCTAGAATCAATTAAGGCAGGCTAATCAGGGCACCTGGGTTTTAAAAGGAGCTCACTTCAGTTTGTGGTGCGAGTGTGAGGAGCTGGGAGCAAGAGGCGCAAGGAGCTGAGAGGGTGTGCTGCTGGAGGACTGAGGAGCACAAGCATTATCAGACACCAGGAGGAAGGTCCTGTGGTGAGAATAAGGAAGGTGTTTGGAGGAGGCCATGGGGAAGTAGCCCAGGGAGTTGTAGCTGTCATGCAGCTGTTACAGGAGGCACTATAGACAGCTGCAGTCCACAGGGCCCTGGGCTGGAACCTGGAGTAGAGGGCGGGCCCGGGTTCCCCCCAAACCTCCCAATTGACCTGGACTGTGGGTTCTTCCAGAGGGGAAGGTCTCTGGGCTGTTCCCCAACCCACATGGTGAATCTCTGAGGCAAGAAAACCCGCCAATAAGCGCAGGACCCACCAAGATAGAGGAACTTTGTCACACCCCGAAGAAATGTGCTTTGTGTCAAACCGAAACCTTTCAGTTTTTCTCACTCAAATAAAAAAAACAAACAAAAAACCATTTCATTCAACCTGAAATGAGATGGGTTTGGGGTTAGTTTTTGGGAGGTTTTGCCGCCTTTTTTTGTTGTTTAAATATAGCAGCTAAATTTCCAAATGAAACATTTTGAAATGAAAAGTCAAAACCTTTTAATTTTGAAACGGTGCAAACTGGTTGGTTGGTTTGTTTAAAAAGGCAAATCTTTTTTTGGCCAAAACTATTCTCTGAATTCAGGCAGAAATTGTGAACCATTTCAGTGCCCTGAAAAATGCAGCTTTTGGCAAATCTGCTATTCATCAAGAAGCATTTGCCCAACTCTAGTAGCTGCACGTGCCAGCATTGGATAGTCCAACAACTTCCTGTCCACATTGATCTGTCTGACCCTGTGACCTCTCGTTAACCATCATTCATTCCCCATTCCTGGAGCATTCCAGTTACACTCTGATCTGCTCTCTCTACTCCCCACTTGTTTTCTTTCTCTAACCAAACCGCTGGGGATAAACTGGCCAGGAATAAATTGAGGCTGGAAATTAGAGGCAGGTTTCTAACCATCAGAGGAGGGAGATTCTAGAACAGCCTCTCAATAGCAGTGTGGGACAAACCACCTGCCTAGTTTGAAGCTGGAGTTTGATAAGTTCATGAATGGGATGATATGGCAGGGTGGCCTGGATTTGCAGTGGTTGGACTCGATGACCCAGCCCTATGTTCCTCTCCCACTCATTCCAGCCCTGCTTTTTGCTCTGCCCTCTGCCCCATCTCTCGGCTTGTTGGCTCTTGGAGGGAGAGACAGGACCTCACCTGTTTGTTAAGCATCAGGACATTTAAACCTCCCCACGCCACGGCTGCGTTTGCTGCCCGTGCAAAACTTCAGAGCTGTGAATTTTTGTTTCTAATACTAGCTCTTCAGTTGGCTGAGTAAAGCAAAGTCTTGCTCTTGGCTCGGTGGCATTTCTTTTGAACGCCGCATCTGATCAATTCCAAGCAATGATTGAGGCAGCACTGGCAGAACCGCATGGACTGTGATGAATTCTCCGAGTTTTGGCCAAAAAAAGTCACTTTTTTGACATTGTCTGCAGAAAAGCCCCTCTTGGTCTGCCCAGCCCTACTGGACACAGAGACAGCCAGCTCCTTGTGGTACCACATGACAATCCTTGCTAGTGCTGCCCGTAGCCTCATCTCCAAGGGCTTGGCGGGCATCACTCAGAGTGGCCCCTGAGTGGTCACTGAGCAATGTCCCCATGGCTTGGACAGGGAGACAATTCGGGGCTGGTTTTCCAGATGAAGTCAATGGGAGCTGTGGGTACGTAACGTCCCTGACAGTCGGGCCTTGGATAATTGGCGCAAAGCCACATAGGCAGCAGCATTCGAACTCAGGTCTCCTGCCTTCTGCCTGAGCCATAAGGCCCCACCCTCCGGGGGCAGGCAGGGGGAGTACTGGGAACACAGGACATGCTGGCTGTTTTCTCATTCGGGAGCTCCTTGCCAGGTGTGTGGCCGTCTCTGATGGACACGGTGGCACTGTCTCTTTCTGAGGCTTCACCTGGCTGGAGTTGACTCGGCTCTTTTTCTCTTTGGGAGCGTCTCACTTGTAACAACCACTGTCAGCTACTCGGAAAGCACTGCTTTCACTGTAATCGGTCATAGTGCTGGGCCTTTTCAATCTTCCTGCAGCACCTACCCAGCTCCTCTAAATGGACTCTCAGCCCATCAGCGTCGCATTCACCCATGGTACCAGCCCTCCCAGACATGCCACCTATAGAAATGCTTCCCAGGAAGCAAAGCAGCACCTGTGCACGCCAGCTTCACTCAGACTGGCCTGCCAGAGTTGCAGACGCTCTGGCCGTTGTCCAAGGACAGCCTGTGTGGGATAAGTAGGGAGCTGCAGTGGAGCTAGGTTCCCCATGCTGCTGGTGGAAGTGGAACCCATGTCACGGTGGTCCACAGAGAAAGCTGTGCATCCTTACTCATCCAAGTGCCACCTCTCTGGCTTTTGTCACTCATCACCTTCCAATCACACGCCTCCCTGGCCCGCTTCCCTCCAGACTTTAATGTTTATGGAGCACTT